ACCCCTTAAAGCCCTAAACCCTATAAGCCCTAAACCTGTAGGCCATCCAACCAAAGCTCTGAGCCGTGGGGCCCGGCTCTGGATCTTCTCCCGCGACATCTCACTCTCTGGCCTGAAGGGGTTTTGGGCGCTACGGTTTAGGGTTTAGGGTTTGGGTTTAGGGTTTAGGGTTTAGTTGACGACATAGATCCTTAGCATTACCTTAAGGCGCCTAACCTATGGGATTTATGAGTATACTCCTTATTATGGGTAATGCAGGATTTATAACCATCAGCTGTAGGGCTTAGACCCGAAACCTTGGGTACTGCCCCCATACAGTAACAGTCTGTAATGGGGCTACGATTAAGGGCCTTATATGTGCAAATTATGAATATTACTAAACTGTTACTGAGTGGGAGGGGGCAGTATCCAACCTACACCCTAAACCGTAAACCGACTTATGAGCTTATGGTGTAGGGTTTCGGGCTTAGAGCCTATGGCACTTGCAGGCTTTAGGATTTCGGGTCTTTTGGGCTTTGGGTTTAGGGCCTATAGCCTGTAGGATTCAGGTTAGGGTTTATCTTCCTTCGGGCTCTAGGGTTAGGGTTGGAAGAGTTCAATGACAGATAAGCTTCACATTCAGGGTGTTAAGGCTGTTTCTTGAAGGTTTAAGGTTTAGGGGTCAGGGGTTTGGGCTTTACGCGGGGTCTGCAGAAAAGGGATCTATGATCCATAAGGTGTGTCTTTATGGAGGTTCTCCAGGGGGTTCCGTGATTTAAGGGGTTTTGCATGGCTCTACACAGCTCCGTGAAGGGATTCATTCGGCGTTTACGGGGCTCCGTGACGGTGTTAAATCGTGATCCATCTCGGGGCTGTCACAAAACTAAAACAAGCACCGGTGTTTAGGGCAGGTTGCTCGTTCAAGGGATCTACAAGGGCTCTAGAGGGTTTCTGGGTATGGACTTGTGCTTGCCTGCTATTGTTTGTGGATGCCCGGGTGTGTGTGTCGGGTAGCGGAGCTTGAGAGTTGCAGCTTAGTGCTGGCTCCCTGCGCTGATGCAGTCCTAAAACCCAGTGCAAGTGTTTAGAAGTTGGGGGTTGTAGAGTACGTGGGTTTACAGAACCCACAATGCCCAGAACTCTAAACTCAAAGCCAATTTCCCAGAAGGGTCCACGCATAAACCACAAATGAGCGAACCTCAGCATAAGCACCTTCGGAAAAGCACTGCAAATCCTACATGCTTCGCCGGAGGACTCTTTTTCAGGTGCCAGGTATCCCTCAGTTTCAGAAATCGGAAATGCCACAAAATCTAAACACCAAAACCCCGAACCCTTGCGCTTCAGGATGCCTGAGCCCGGAACCCCAAGCCCAGCCCCAAACCCCAAAGTTAAGAGATTTGTTTTAGATACCAAAACAGGGATCTATAGTAAAATGCCAAAAAAAGGCTTCTTTATAATGATAAAGAATTAAGTTAAATCCCTTAACAAGAGCCCAGCAAAGCCCTAAACCAAACATTTTCGAAAACCGCCAAACAGAACTTTCACTGCCAAGGCAAGGAGCACATAGAAATCCGAGACGGCCGCCGCGAGCAGGATGAGACCGGAGGGTCCTACATGGGAGGTTTAGGGTTTAGGGGTTAGGGTTTAGGGTTTAGGGTGTAGATTGAGGTTTAGGATTTTTTGGGGGTTTAGGGTTTGGGGGATTAGGGTTTGAGGCTTAGGGTCTAGAGTTCTAATCTAGGGTTTGACAGTGAGTATGCATAATGATTTTTTCCGCTTAGGGTTCGTTGACACTTCATATAAGCCCGAAACCCTTCCCGCAGCCCCAAACCCTAGGAAATGGTGCATACCGTTGATGATATAAACCCTGCGTTACCCATAATAAGGAATGTGCAATAGTTCCCATACTTTAGGGTCCATAAGGTAATGCAGAATTTATATCATCAACAGTAGGTCATGTGCCCTTACATTACCGGGTATTCACCTTGCAACAGTAGGATTTTGGATCCCTGGGGTACATCCTAAACTCTGAGCCCCATAGAAGCCCTACATTAACCCTGAAGCCTAAGACTCCCCAAATCCCCAACTCGAATCCGAAACCTCAAAGCCTGAACCCCAACCTCAAACCCTTTACGCCCAAACCCGGAACACTGGACATGCGGTACACCGACTAACGATAGCACTGTTTGCAATATCCATAGGGTTTTACAGGGGGGACTTGTAGGGTCTTGGCCGAGCCTTTTCTCGAGGTTGTATCATGGGTTTGTACAAAGCTCGCCAGCATCCCCTTCACCATAAAATTATCAGTCTTAAGTTCTCAGCGTACTTCAAACCCTAAGGGGACCCAGACTCAGATAAGTTTAGCCACCATCCATGCTTTTTTGCAACCCATTACTTATCCGGTCCAGGCCAGCTTCCTAGAGGCTCTGAAGGTTAATCTTTGGAATGGTTTAGGGTTTTGGGGTTTAGGTTTTAGGGTTTAGGGGGTTTGGGGTTTAGGGGGTTTGGGGTTTAGTGGGTTCGGGGTTTAGGGGGTGTAGGGTTTAATTCAAGGATCGTCGTACTGCGGTCATCAAAAAATGTAGGGGCACATCCGCAAACCGAATACAGAAGGCTCTCCAAAGTCCGATGCCAATAGCCTCAACCTCAAGTTCTTCAACAAAGAATCCCCTTGTGATTTCCGGTATGTTCTTTAATCAAGGGTGCTGGAGCTGTTAACCCCCTGCAGCAGCCCTTGTAACACCACATGAAAATCATTCAAAAACAACTCTCTACAACCAAAGTTTTAAAAAGACAACCTAAACCCTAAACCCTGACCCCAGACCCTAACAAAAACCTGGAAAATCCTCCCTAAACCCTAAACCCACAACTCCAGAGGTTTTTGGAGTCTCTGTGTCTTTCCCAAGCGGTGGCTCCTGCTGAAGACAGCGCTTGGCACGCCTCCCGCAGCCTGGAGAAGGTTCTCTAATCTAAGGCTGAAACCACGGGCCCCTAGCATAGGCCCTTAACCCTGTGATCCTTTGCACCTGCTATTCACCCTATATGTACCTTCAAGGGTCCCTAGAAAGGCATAAGGGTCCATATTAGGGGCCCGTACTTTTAGCTTTAGATCTGAGGTAGGGATTTAGGGTTTTAGGATTTTAGGGTTTAGGGTTTAGGGGTTTAGGGTTCTAGGGTTTTCGGGTTTTTAGGGTTTTAGGGTTTTAGGGCTTTAGGGGTTTAGGGCTTGAGGGGTTTACGGTTTTAGGGGTTTAGGGTTTAGGGGTTTCGGGGTTCGGGGGTTTAGGGGTTAGGGTTTAGGGGTTAGGGTTTTAGGGTTTGTTGTGGGGTTTTTGGTTTGTAGGATTCTAGTTCAATGGTCGTATAGTATAGCGACTACAAGGGGATACTATTACTATTGCTATCGATGCCGTGTTGTGTTTAGCGCTTTTCTCTCATGGAGTGTTATCTATCGGTCGAGGGTACTGTTTTAGCAGTGGGGTGCTTGGGAAACTGCTGCCCGAGAGCGGCCTGCATGCACACGATGCGAGTTCTGCTTGGGCTTAGGCTTATAAAGGGTTAAGGGTTAAGGGTGTAGGGTTTAGGGTTTAGGGCACCTGATGAGAGTTGAGTTCAGTTGATGCTGACTTGAAGGAAGGCTTAGTTCCGGGAGTCCCTACCCGCGCATGCCATGGCCAATCAAGCAAGCTTGGACGTCTCACACCAATCCGAAAGTTCACCCAACTTTCGGATGGGTTAAAGCCTCGTCCAGCATAGGTTTAAGAGCGTGCGGAAGGTCACAACGTAAGGCGCTGGCAGGAAAAGGTAGTCGAAAATCGTGGTGAAGCCAACTGTCAGGAGCCGTTCCTGCAAGATCTTGTAGCACCCTAAACCCTAAACCCTAAACCCCTAAACCCTAAACCCTCTCAATGGCGCGTGTTCCAAGAAGTTTAGTGGTTCAGGGGCTTCAGATTCAGGGTCTGGGGATTTTGGTTGTCTTGGGCTTGATTTAGGCTTTAGGGGGCTTAGGATATACTGGCGTTGGCGATTAGGCATGAGTTGGCTTGGGGTTTAGCCTTGCATCTTAACATGTTGAGGTTCTTGCTCGCCTGAAAGCAACCTCCTCTTTGCGAACAGGTCAGAAAACGAAACCCTCAGCACTTGAAGATAGCCCTGGCCTCTGCCCCAACCCCTACCCCTGAACGCCTTGAGCCCTGCCCCCCCTCAAGCCGTGAATTTTCAATGCCAAGACATCCTGAAATACCAACCCTTACCTAAATCCTGAATCCTATAAACCCTAAACCCTAAATCCTACACCTCGAACCGTAAACCCCTAACCGCTGAGACAAAATCGCTAGCCATGTCCTTCAAGTCCGGCGGAGGCTTCACATCAGTCGTCGCCTCGGCAGGCACAGTCTTATAACGGATATCATCCTCAGATTTACTGAGGTGCAATGTGCAATGATACCGGGTTTCGGGTTTTAAGGGCCTAGGACACAGTCTTATCTTGGGCTTAAATCTAGGGATGAAGCTGAACGAGTACCTATGAAGTTCCGCAGAGAAGGGCCTAGGGTAAGTGAGATCACCCTGAACCATAAGTCGTTTTTTGGAGATGTCTCAAACCCAAAGACTCCGTCCGAAAGCCCTGCCTGCAAATGTATGAATCTCCGAAGAGTGCCACCTGTTAATCCCTGTGGAATGCTACTCTAATCTATCCCGAAACCGCGGTCTAGTTAATACGGCTCCGATGCATTTGGCTGAACGAAACATCTTATGTCGGCGTAGATCCCCAAACCAATGATAATGCATCACGACGACCGCGACGACCAACCACGGGTTCCCCACGTTTCGAGGCCCCAACAGAGCTGAAGGGTTTAGGGTTTCGGGTTTAACCCAGAACCCAACAAGACGCGTGGGAATTTTAACGATGAACCGCGCTTTTCTGCGAAGGATTCAGCCCATGGTGCGCAAATAGCGGCAGAAGCGACACCTCTTTTTTGTTCTGGGGTGCAAGCGTCCACGAGCCAGCAGCAGCTAGTCTCGTGCCGGGCGGTGCCATTCAGCTCGACAGAGGAGCTGTACTTCCAGGTGTCGAGCCTACTCGGAAGCTGTACAAAGAAAAACCTCCAGACATGTGGAGGTACGCGCCGAGAGAAGAACAGCGGCCTTCTCTTGCATGGTGGCTTGGAGCAACTCCTGATGCCAGCCGACTCGAGCAGCGTTCTGAAGGCGGCCGCGACGATGTCGGTTGGCGCAATCGTCCGCCGCCTGGTTCAAAGAGCGGCAAGCAGCCGCCTGAAGGGGAGACTTCGGAGCCCATCCAGGCTTCTTCCCGTGACTCGGAACCCAAGACAGTTGCCAGGAAATCCCACGTCTTCGGGCCATCGCGCCAGCCCGTTGTGCTTTAGCAGCTAAGGTGCAGTATTGGCTTGTCGCGGGACAGCAAACTGCCTTCATAGCTGACTCACAGTCCACGAGGATAATCACTTGTCGAGGTGGGTGAGCAGTGAGCTCCAAAGCTTCAAGAACACCCAGGATGCCCAACAACTCCATCCGAAATGGAGTTTGATCTTCGCTGGAGTCAGCCCCAGCCATGTCCAGGCGGGGGTTTTCACAAACCACTGCAAAAGCCCCTATCCCGTTTTCGCTGGAGCCGTCCGTCGCGAGCAAGAGGTCGAGCTGGTTCTCGGTAGCGGCCTTCTCGAGGAGCTGAAGCACTTGAGGTTGTAGAGCCTGCACTCCGGCCTCAGGGGCAGGCGGGTACTCCGGGATGGGTCGCCCCAAGAGTCTTTCTTCGACTCTGTCGACAGGGGTTGGAAGTCCGGCGCGATCCTCTGCAAAGTTTGGGCAGCTCCAGAGCAAGTGGGCTCGAGAGGGCCAAAGTTTCGAGCAGAAGCACTGCATCGGACCATTCAGAGAGTGTCTGGCACTGTAATGCCAGCCTGTCCCGCCACTGGCCAGGGCGGCATGCTTTTCTGCACGGGTGGTGGCCTTGGCATAGACCTGCCGGTGGCCCTGAAACGCAAACCTAAGACAACCCTCGGGGCGGGGGAGGTCAAAACCAACCGCTAGGGATGGGTCATGGCGATGTAGTTTTCTCCGGACACGGCCACACCTGTGGGTGGCTTCGGCTTTGTGGGCTTCGGTGAGCCACTGTTTGAGGACTGCGGGGGAGTCTTCGCCAAAACGATAGGTGCGGTGACGACCGGCGTCGTCGATGCGCTCAAAAGCCCGGCCTTGCGGATCTAGTCGCCACTGGAGTTTCTGCAGGGTAGCACTGGCCCCCGGGAGGCTCGAGGTGCGAAGAAAAGCAAGCTCTTGCAGGGAGAGGTGCTCATGCCAGTCGGGCTGTTGCACGAGAGCCCGAGTCAAGGCCGAAAGGGCACTCCAGTCGGCAACCCAGCTCACATCCAACGTCCAACCAAGAACCTGGCCGACAAGAACACGAGGGGCCTCATGGGTCAAAGAGACCCGCAGCACTGCCGCGACGCTTTGTCGGATGGCTTCCAACGTGGCAGGGGGGGGCATGGCAACCCCAGCCGCCCAAAACAAGGCGGGGAAGACCAGAGACCGGATGACCTGTCTGCGGACCTCCAAAGGAAAAGCCGGATTGGCCGTGTGTCGCAGGCGAACTTGCAGCTTGTGCAGGCTAAGTTTAAGCGGAACGGCTTCGCCCGAGTCCAGGCAAAGGTCAACACCAAGGAACTGCAGATTAGGGCCAATCTGGTAGCCTCGAGCCTCGGCCTCAGCACGCCAAGGACAGCGGGGCTGGGTGGTGACCAAATGGCACTTACGGCAGCTGCAGGTGAGCCCGGCAGCAGCGTCAAACAAGTCACTGCGACGAAGCGCGCGTTGCGCCTCGGCGCTTGAGTGGTCTTGCCCGGTAAACCAAAGGATCCGGTCATCGACGTAAATGCCAGCTTCGACTCCCGGTTTCGCCACATACTGGGCCCAAAGGAAACCAATCGTCAGGCTGAGGAAAGGGGAGAGCGGGCAGCCTTGCAGCAAGCCGTGATGGGAGCGGTGCCACCTTTCGGACGTGTACGAGTCCACCGTGAACAGCCTGAGCTGCCTGCTGTAGAAAGCCTCAATCAGGGGAGCAAGCGCCGGAGGAGCTCCCAAATGAGCCAGGGCAAGTTTCAAGACAGGCACCGACAACGAGTCAAAGAAAGCGCTAAGGTCCTGCTGGAGGTAAGAGCGCACGCCCGACTTCCAGGCACACAGCAGCCGTCGATGCGTGTCGATTGGCGATCGGCCTGGGGCAGAGCCAGTGGCTCTGTGATCGCACCATTGGCAAATCCAGCCCTTTAGACGTCTGGCGATTACCCTTGCCCCGGCTCGCCAAACCAACGGGAGTAAGGCGATAGGGCGAGAGGCACTGTGGCCCTTTTGCAAAAGGACAATGATCGACCGTTGCCATAGGCTGGGGACCGTGGCAGTGCGAAGCACCTGGGCCTAAAGGGCGGAGAGTGAAGTCCAGAACGAGTCAGGAAGCCTCAAGAGAAGGCCCCCGGTCCATCCATCTGGACCTGGTGCACGTTTTCGCATTTGCTTGGTAGCCTTGCGAAGTTCGGTGGGGCTCGGCTCAAGGTCGAGGTGGCAGGTCTGGTGGCTAGGGATGTCCCGAAGGAGTTGCGCAAACTGAACACAGTCAGGTGGCGTAGTGGGTGTTTGCCACTTGCGGGTCCATTCCTCACCTTGCAGCTGCACCCGTTGCGCAGGGTGAACCTGGGCAGTGGGCACGTCCTGGAGAGGTGAGGGGGACTGCGTGCGAAGCTCGAGGTCAGCTCGATTTTTGACCCAAGCAAGGGCCACATCAGAGGAGAGCGCGGTTTTCTCCTTCCATCTCTGCAAACACAGAAGGCGGTGCTGTTTCTGCCTTGTATCAATGAGGGCGTCCACGCAAGCCCTGGCCTCGCTTGGAGTGTCAAGGTCAAGGTGCGGCAGCTCGGGGGCCAGCGCCCGGACACGGCGGAGGGAACGAGCGATGCTGGAAAGTAGTTGAAGGTCCCACGGCTGCTGCTCGAGTTGGCCAATCGTGCCCGTCTTTGCCAGGGGTGCCACAAGGAGTGGGACGGGGGGCCGGAAGCCAAGCGGCACTGCGAGGGCACGAAGGGTTGGAGATGCCCAATCGGAGAGGCAGGTCCACGCCTTATCCAGGTGCCCGGCAGCAAGAAGGGCAAAGAACTCAGGGCCAGGGTCAGCAGGGGCGTTGGCCGGGGCATCAGCAGGTGCAGAGGCGCCGGCGAGAAGGCAGGCCGCTTCCAAGAGCGAGGGAAACAGGCAGTCGGGAAGTCCACCCGAACGATGCCATGGTCCGAGACAGCAGGCAGCCGAAAAGTGTGCACATGCGAAGCAACCAGATTTTGGTGGGCCACGGCAAAGTCGATGCGACGTGTGTTGGTGGGGTTGGTGTTGGGATGCTGAGATCCCCCAGTATCATCGGCAGCTCTGATAGCCCCGGTGGCCAGCATAGCCGCAAGCGAGCCTTCTATTTGGGTGATGTTGAAATCCCCCAGAATCACGTACGGGCCGCCGAAAGTGGCCACAGCCGACATGAGGGACTCAAAGGCGAGTGAAGTCCGAGGAGCATCGCCCGGGTAGCCATAGAAAGAAACCACAAGTACCGAGGTAGGGCCCTCCGAAAGCGGCCACACCACCACCCCGGCTGCGACCCGATCTGCACAAGAAAGATCCGGCAACTGGACATGTCTGAGTGGCAAGCAAGATGTCAAGGCAACACGGTGCTTGCCACGGGAATCCACAGGGCTAAGCACTGCCTGGTATTTGTGCCGGCTCCAAGCTGCAACAAAGCCAGCCGCCGACAGTGGGTTGATGTCAGCCTCCTGGAAGGCTGCGATCTGCACCGATTCCTGAGAGAGCATGGCCCGAACAGCATCGATAGAGGCGATGCCTTTGCGGGCCAGGTTGCACGTCAAAAGGGAGATGAATTTTGCGAGGGCCCGGCGGGCCGAGGCAAATATCTCTTCGACCTGGGACCTGGGCATGCCTGGCACCTTGTGAGTTTTGGCCCACTCGCTCATGACATCGAGTTTCCGAAGCGTGCGTTGCATCATCCAGTCAGGTCGAGGGGGCAGGCAGGATGCACCAGAATGGGACTCGAGAGTCTTGGGGCCTCGGTGGCGGATGTGGCCACAGCGCCGGCACTTATAGAAGCTACAGAAGCAAAGCTTGAGGATGGGACGCTCAGCAATGGGGCACGGACCTTTGTTCAAACGAACCGGCCTGGGCATGGTAAACGGGATGATGTGAGGCGGCAGTTTGAGGCGAACAGCCTCAACATTGCTTTTGCCCAGGCGCAAGGCGCGCTTCTTTCCGGCCGCAGAGCTAGCAGTTTGGGCCCGCGTAAGGGTCAGCCACTCAGACTTGGGAATCTCGGGGTGGCATTGCTCCTTGTGCTGGCGCTTAAGCTCGTAGAGGCGTTTGATCGGGATGTCACTTCGCACCTTCTTGACACCGGTGCGGCACAGCGGGCATCGCCAGTGGAAGTCCTCGGCCTTGCCCCGACTCGCAAACCATTGGCGGCTAGCAATCTTTGGCAGCTGCCCCTCGCCACCGTGGCACGTATTCATGTGTCGTGCCTTGATGGCGGTCAAACTGCTGGCGGCGGCGCTGGTGGTGCGGTATGGGCAGAGCTCGCACTTAAACATCAACCGGTACTTCATGGTGGGACCCTGAGGCGTCCGAAAACGGTCGGGAGCATGGTCCTTGCGGCGGCGGGTCTCTGAAGACGCAGGGGCCACAGGGGCCTCCGGAATGTGCAGGTCATCAACACTAGCAGCATCGGCTGCCCCAGATGCAATCGAGCAGGAGGCCTGAGCAGAGGGTCGGTGCTGGGTCCACGCTGTTTTCTTTGAGCCGGTGCAATCGCTGGCAGTGATGTTGCACCTTTGCTTTTTCGAGCTGGCAGCAGCCGAGGACCAAACGGTGCCCGACCTAATCGATGCTTCGGCCGACGAGTGCGACCTGGCAGTGAGCGGCAGGGCCTTTGGCAAGGGTGACACGGGCCTTGGCTGCTTGCTGGACCTGCTTACCTGTGACCTGACCTGGGTCGACGGGGCATTCGAGGCTTTGGTCCAGACCGAACTTGCATCATCTCCAAGGTGGCTGCTACGACCACCTGCTCTCAAATCAATGACCTGACCCGTGCAACCAGCAAAGAGGGCCTCAGGGTAGTGGTCGGTCGGCTTGGTGGGCATCACCAGGTCGATGTGCTTGGGGGTGTACCAAAGCACGATGGCCCTGTGTTTCTGGGCCTTTGCCTCCTTGAACACCATGGTGCCGAAGTTGGCATCCCGGCGGATGACCATCAGGCACACGTCGTAAATCCTGCTAAGAGCTTTGAGCTCCAAGACCGAGCCATAGGCAGATTCCTTCTCGGCCAAGTCGAGGTATTTGGCAAAGCCCTCGTCTTTGGTCGGGTTATCAGCAGCAAGTTTTTCCAACGCTGGCCCATACCCGTCCCACTCATCAACGTACTGCGCCTGGTGCTTCCTCAGGTGGGCGTTGGCCCGAGCGCGCAAGTCTCGGTGGCAGTGCTCTGTCTTCTTCTTGCCGCTGAGCCAGGTGAGCCCTTGGGCGACGGCCCGGTACATGCAGGAGCCGTCTCGGTCGATCTCAGTGATTTGGCAACCTTCAGGAACCTCGCGCTGGTTCAGGGCCCTGTTCTGAGCTGGGGAGGTCTCCTTGCCCTTGTCGTCGAGGACGGCGGGTTGGTGCGCCTTGACAAGCCGACCATCCAAAGGCGAGGCCGTAGTCGAGATAAGTGGCACCGGGGCAGGCTTCAGGAAATGCTGCTTGTTCCCCTGGGGCCGGTGGGGAGCAACTTGCGCCCAAAGAGTCATTTCGCCTGGTGTGGTCGTGCCATCGTCGACCGTGGCTTGCAACGGCACCACGTCTTTGTCCCCATATTTATGGGTCCCACGGAACCTGTACAGAAACTCTCGGCCGGTGCGCCTGTTGTGGATCAAGGTCACGGAATCAAAAGCCTGGGCCAAGACAGCCTTCACCTCCTCTGGCCCCCAGTCCCCAGGAACATGAGGAAAGTTCCAAATCCGAGCGACAGCTTGAGTCGGGTCGCGAGTAGTTCTGGCACCGATTCGGCCGCCCTGTGCCACCAAACCCAGTAAAGGTGACATGCGCAACCCACGCTCGTGGTAGGCACTTGCTGGCTCCTCCGTGCCCTTGGCGAGCCACTGGATTTGCGAAGCCACGGCATCTCGAGGAGGGTCCAAGGACACCCCTTCTCTCCCGCTAGCAGCAAGGAGGCTGGTCAGGTCCTTTTTCGGGATACGGGCCTTCCCGAACAGCTGCCGGCCCGAGCGGCCATGCGACTCCTCAAGCCATGACCAAGTGTCGGAAAGGAGGACCTTTTGGCCCAGCCCATTTGGCAATCGCGCGGGTCGGGTTGGTGCGGAAACCTTTCCACTTGTCAGCACTCAGGTAAGCCTCCGGGATGCGGATGGAGATGACACAGGTCTCGACCGGGGCCACTTTGACTGCATCCGCCTTGTGCCCAGCATAACCTGCTGCAGCTTTGCCGGCCGACTGGATCTGGATGGTCTTGGCCTGCCTGAAGCGAAGCATGTTCCCAACGCGGCCGGGAATACGAGTGGGCCCATCCTTAGACAGCTCAATCAGCATGACACGGTGTGGCTTGGAGGTGCCTCTCAAGATCGTGGCAACCTTCTCGAGCTCAGCCTTGGGAGCCATCACCACGGCCTCTAGGGCAGCATCGGCGGACAGCTCGTCGAGCTTCTTTCCCACCCCGGTGTGGGGAACGATTGGAGCGTCCCAATCCTGAGCTCTGAGCTCGAAGGGCTCTGCGTCTCGTCGCGAGACTTGTTGCCACTCATCGGCATCAGCTTGCTCGCCCCCGACATGAACATGTGCCGTGGGAACACTGGCACCATTGGCCCCGGCTCCTTTGCCCTTTCGCGGTGGGGCGGTCGCAGGAGGGCTGCCTCGGCCTCGGCCAGCTTTCGTTTTTGATCTTTGCCCGCCCCTTTGTGCCTTTTGGGCCGGGGCTCACCTGGATCGAGGGCACTTCTTTCGGCATGCCCTAGCTGGTCTGGTGGCTGCAGGTAATTGGCTTGCTAAAGCAGACTCCACCGCTTTGCGAACCAACTCAGTGATCAACGGCATGAGCTGGGCAGTCAGGCCTTCCAACAGGCCCTCCAGCCCCGAGGGGGCGCCACCACATCTCAGCAGAGGCACCTGCCCTGAAATGGCACTGCTTTCACCTGGCCGTTCAGGCAGCTCAGTGTGTAACACGGGCAGGGTGCACACGGGTAACCCAACAAGAGAAGGCCTAGACCCACAAACGCAGGGCAAGGAGGGGGTAGGCTCGCACGAGTCCAGGGGCCTGTGGCCTAAACCCAAGCTAGGGCAAAGGGAGGCAGCGTTCGGCGCCGGCAACGGCCTGGGGGTGTGCGACGCAGGCAAGGTGCACTCGGGTACGTCCAGGAGAACAGGCCTAGACCCACAAGCGCAGGGCAAGGAGGGGGCAGGCTTGCACAAGTCGGGGGGCCTGTGGTCTAAACCCAAGCAAAGGCAATGTTCGGCTCCGGCAAAGACACGGGTACCCCTAAGGGAGAGGACCTAGACCCAGCTAGGGGGGGAGAAGGGCAAGGCCATGCACCTGGTCCGTCATCTCCGCCGTCTCCTCCATCGCAGATGTCCCAGTCCCCGAGGCTGTGTGCTGGAGGTGCCGGCTGGCAGCTCCGTTCTTCCCAATCTGGGGCTCCATCTGTAACACCGTGGTCCTGCCAGGGGCCAAAGCTCTCGCAGGAAACAGGGGCCTCTCGCGGAAGCCCAAAGACATGGTACTCATCCCACAGCATGCTGTAGCAAGGCCATGTCCACTTGCTTCGGGTGGACATCGCAGCCTTGATTCGTCGACGCTTCTCATTGTAAATCTCTGCAGCCAGACGCAAAACCACGCGTCTGCCCTCAAGGGTGTCTGGTTCCATCCTAGCAGCGTGGCAACCCAAGCCACACTCGTGATGGTTTCGCTGCATCCCCAAACTGCAGGAGTCTCCAATAAGTAGTGTTTCCATAACACGGTAGCATCTAAGCATGCGATAAGTCCAGCCTTGGCCTCCAGATGATGGAGCCATAGCGACAGGTAAAGAATCAGCCCTCCGCTTTGGGGGAGGAGGTTACCAGCTCAGCCGCGGGGAGGCTTCTTTCTTGAGCCGAAGCGACACCTCACCCGAGGTGTCGTTGGGTACACTTAAAGCCCTATAAGCCCTAAACCCTCAACCCTAAAGTCCTAAAGTCACTGAACCCTAAAAGCCCTAACCCCAAACCAAAAGCAAGAACCCCATAGCGCGCAGCACAGTGCTTGGGGAGCAAGGAGAGACCCCTCAAGGCCCCCAAAAAGAAAACCCGAAGCCGACAGCTTAGGGTTTAGGGTTGAGGGTATCAATATAGTATGGGGTTTAGGGTTTGGGACATCAAAATAGTATAGGGTTTAGGGTTTAGGGTTGAGGGTATCAATTTAGTATAGGGTTTAGGGTTTGGGACATCAAAATAGTATAGGGTTTAGGGTTTAGGGTTGAGGGTATCAATATAGTATGGGGTCTAGGGTTTGGGACATCAAAATAGTATAGGGTTTAGGGTTTAGGGTTGAGGGTATCAATATAGTATTTATGGGGTTTACGGTTTGGGACATCAAAATAGTATCGGGTTTAGGGTTCAGGGTTGAGGGTATCTACATAGTATAGGTTTAGGGTTTAGGGTTTAGGGTATCAATGTAGTATAGGGTTTAGGGTTTAGGATATCTATGTAGTATAGGGATAAGGGTTTAGGGTTTAGCGCGTTTAGGGCTGTTTTTGAACGACCCTTTTCCGTCTCGCTTAGGTTTAGGGTTTAGGGTTTAGCGGCTTTAGGCTTGATGGGTTCAGGGTATAGGGGCCGAGACGGTGGTAACCACCATGCTAGCGATGGGCATGAAGCGGCTTGTCCGGAAAGCTGTGTCGGGCACCTCATCTTGTTCCAAAAGCTGAAGGGGCGCCTGGAAAAGGGAAGAACGTTTTGGGGTCGTAGAGGAACATATAGGAACTTTGCTACACAAGAAAGCTCAAGCGAGAATACTCCACCACTAAGGACCGCAGATTTCTGTCGGGGTTTCAAGTTCAACTAAGTCGGCCTGAACCCAGAAGCTGGAGAGCATCCAAAAGGCAGATCCCTCCATCAAGTTCCCAAGTAGAACAGCACCATTTCCTAGAATAGGGTCCCAACTTAGGGAATCAAAAACCCTAAACCCGAAGCTCAAGAGATCTAACGAATCTAACTTTTCAGATGCTCCCCGGATCTGGGAAGTTACATCTGCTGACTGGGCCGAGTTCGATTTCAGCAAGAGCAGGCTGCGTTTCACCCTGCACCCACGACAATTCCTCAAAAAAGCAGCCGAGCTTTAAGCTTATTTTGGGGTTTAGAGGTTTAGGGCCCGAAAATGTCGAATATGCTGCGGCCTCGTTGAGCTTTCGCACGATATCGGTCGCGAAGGGAAAGTTGGAACCTGTCCGGCAGCGGAATTTTCGGGATGACTGATCACACATTGAACTGCTTACACTAAACCTGACCTCTAAACCCCAAACCCTAAACCCGAAAGTCACAAACTCTCAAGTTTAAACCGTAAGAATCCCCTTAAATTACGCTGACAACAGCAGCAGCAGCACCAGCAGCACTGCCACCACCCCCACCACCACCAGCACCAGCAGCAGCATCAGCCGCATCAGCAGCGGGAGCAGCAGCACCACCACCACAACCAGCACCAGCACCAGCAGCAGTACCAGCACTACGCCTTCAACCTTAAACGCTGAAGCGCTGAACTCACCCAGGCTACACGATCCAGTGTTGCTGTAAGATGCTCCCAGAAAGCTGACTGCGGTCTAGGGGTCAGGGTTTAGTGCTTTAGGCGCTTCGGTTTACGAACCAACAACGGCCGACAAGACCCGCGTTTCTTCGACCGCCAGCAGGTGTCTTTCTGCGCTTCTCAGCCGGTGCCAGCCTGACAGGAAGTGCTGTAATTATTTGGCGGTCAGGGAAGTCAGGGTTTGCTGCGAAGAGATGGTTTGAACAACCCTTTTGTGGCTTGCTGCTGCAAGGTACCATAGCTATCAGCTAAGTTACATGTCCGCAAGAAAGCATCTTTCACACAGAGCTCCTAACCCCAAACCCTAAACCGACAAGAACCCTGTTCTTGGCTCAGTGTTTTGGGTACCAGATTCAGGAAACCCTAGATCCTCGGCTCTTTGGGTCACGGGTGTGATACTGTTGATGATATAAATCCTGCATTACCTTATAAGGACCATCAACTATGGGAATTCTGGTATATTCCTTATTATGGGTAATGCGGGATTTAGATCATCAGCCGTATGAACGTAACCCTAAAACCCCTAGCCTTGTTCCTAAACTTCCTAAGCCGTATTTCCCAAGATGCAAAGCGTTTAGACAGCTCTGGGAGGGCTCTATGGCCTCTATGGGAGTTCTGGTAGGGTTGTTGTAGGGCTTCATAACGTGCTACGAGAAGGATTCTATCAGGGGCTCTAAACAGAAGCGGCTCCAGGAAGAAATTGGTCCGAAAACTTCTCGGAACCATAAATAAGGTATATAAGGTTTAGGGTTTTGGGTTTAGGGTACCGTCTGGAAGACCCCGAAGCTTTAACTCCCACTTCGGTGCAGTACTACTTCCTGAATACCTTAAACGCCCTAAACCCTGCACCGTCAACCCAAGACCATAAGCCGCCTAAACCCCCCAAAACAGCCTAGACTAAAGCTCACACGACTCATAATGAGAACTCTTCTTAAACCTTCCTGACCCCTGCTCGCGAAGGCGGTTTGGGTCCAGGGTTGCCATGGGTTCCCTGATCTCCGGAATGGGGATTAGGGGTTTAGGGTTTAGGGTTTAGGGCTTAGGGTTTAGAGTTTAGGATTTAGGGCTTAGGGTTTATGGCTTAGGGTTTAGAGTTTAAAGACCAACAAAAGCTTGAACATCCCGAATGAGGCTCTAAGTATCAGTCTCGGTTTCCACAAACTAAAAACCGTCCTAAGTACCTATGCAGAAGGATGTAAGGGTTTCTAGAACAAGAGCTGCTATTCTGGTTTGGGCAATATAGCCCCCATACCTCTTTGGTGAACCACTCTGAGCCACTATGACACGCCCCAAACGCCTGAGCCGCCTCTAACCACTTCATTTGGGGTTTGAGGTTTAGTGCTTGGGGCCCTAAGCCGCTGAACCCTAAACCCCTAAACCCCCAGCAGAGTTGCAACATCCCGTTTTGGGCGTTTGCACGGTGCCAAATGAAGAAGTCTAGGACTCCCGACGCTACACTACACTGTCACCACACCCTATGGTAGCCAC